GACAGAGACAGAAACAAAGGGATGCACATAAAGAGCGACAGACAGAGACACGGACTCAGAGAGAAAGAGAAATGTACAGCCACGTGTGTGGTGCCACACGATTTCATTATGCGCAGAACAGCGGCCGGTACAGAGATAGAGACAGACAGACAGAGACAGAAACAAAGGGATGCACATAAAGAGCGACAGAGACACGGACTCAGAGAGAAAGAGACAAAGACAGACAGACAAAGACGATCAGACCCAGAAAGACAGAAACAAGAAGAGAGGGACAAACATTAAGAAAAAAAACAGGAGAGACAGACACACAGAATCAGGAGAAAAACAGACAAAGACAATGTGTGTGTGTGTGTGTGTGTGTGTGTGTGTGTGTGTGTGTGTGTGCGTGTGTGTGTTTGGGTGTGAATGTCCCACGCATAGGTAAATATACAGACACGTATGTGGTGCCACACGATTAAATTATGTGCAGAACAGCGGCCGGTACAGAGATAGAGACAGGCAGACACAGAAAGACAGAGACAGAAACAGAGGGATGCGCATAACGAGCGACAAACAGAGACACGGACTCAAAGAGAAGGAGACAAAGACAGACAGACAAAGACGAACAGACAGACGATTAGATCCAGAAAGACAGAGACAGAAAGAGAGGGACAAACGTTAAGGAAAAACAGGAGAGACAGACAGACTCAGGAGAAAAACAGACAGAGACAGACAATCAGACATAGAAAGTCAGAGACAGAAACAGAGAGACGCACAGTCATAATGAATGACAAAAGGAGAGACAGACACAAAGACTCAGAGAAAAAATAGCAGCAGAGAGAGGCAGATCAAGAAAAAGACACAGAGACAGAGAAAAAGAGACTGAGAGAGGGACAAAGAGAGACAGAAGAATAGCAGCAGAGAGAGAGAAATAGAGCTATAAATACAGGGACAGGCAGACAGACAAACATAAAGAGACAAGCAGAGACAGCCAAACAGACAGACCGAGACAAGGAAACAGTTGGAGAGTTACGCAGACAGGCAGATAGAACGACCAAGACTCAGACTTAGAGAAACACATAGACACACACAGAAAGAGAGAGAGAGAGAGAGAGAGAGAGACAGACAGAGAGAGAGACAGAGAGAGACAGAGAGAGAGAGACAGAGAGAGACAGAGAGAGAGAGAGACAGAGGGAGAGAGAGAGAGAGAGAGAGAGAGAGAGAGAGAGAGAGAGAAACATAGAGGCACACAGACAGGCAGACTGACAAAGACAGGCAGAAGGAGAAAAAAACACAGACGACAGATAGACAGACAAAAGGCACACAGACAGGCAAACACACAAAAACAGGCAGAAGGAGAAAGACAGACAGACGAGAGATAGACAGACCGACAGATATATACAGAGAGGGAGAGAGAGAGAGAGAGAGAGAGAGAGAGAGAGAGAGAGATAGAGAGAGATAAAGAGAGAGAGATGAAGAGAGATAAAGAGAGAGAGACAGAGAGAGGGAGAGAGAGATTGATAGAATAGAGAGAGACAGACGGACAAAGAAACATGTCGAGACACACAGATACGAGAGATTTCGTTCCTTGTGTTTCTAATACTGAAGTCCACAAGAGAGATTGGAAGCTGTGTCACAACTCTTGGGTTTCACATATTACTACGATCATCAGGCAACTACTATAATATAAGTAGGTAGCAGCAGAAAAACATATAGTGAGGTGAGCCGAAAAAATACGATTAAAAAAGCCGATTCACAAACCAGGTAAAGACAGGAAGAGAGAGAGAGAGAGAGAGAGAGAGAGAGAGAGAGAGAGAAAGAGAGAGAGAGAGAAAGATATGTGCGCATATACCCTGCACCCATGCACGCGCATACACACAGAAGGGAGTTGATAGGTGGAGAATTAAGTCTGGCTTTGGAAATTTTATTTCTCATTGCAATCAGGTTCGGCCTCATTTCTTCTGTGCTGCGCTGATGAGTCCACAAAGGACGAAACAGTTCTGTCCGCAGATTGGGTATAGGTAGATAGAGAGATATAGATGAAGATCGAGAAACAGAGAGAGAGAGAGAGAGAGAGAGAGAGAGAGAGAGAGACATAGGCAGCTGTATTGGCGATTATAATCCGATGTATTCTGTGTGGCGTAGACCAGGTGTGCATTGAGAATCATTTCACAAGGCCTCGCAATAATTATATGGAATTGTGCAGTAATGTGGTGCAAGTCTTCATACGTTTCACTCAGGTCATGTCTGATATCGGCATAAGAGAAAATCAGTGGGTGTCCATCCACTTCACTTGCAGACTTGCGTGTTTCTCTTGCGACGGATGCACATGGTACTTAGCTTCTGTGTCAATTGGCTCATTCTGCAGGCGAATGTTGGTGAACGGCTTCATTACCAAAAAACTTGATTGGTTTGCCATTTAGCTTCCTGTGTGGCGTGATATTGTTTCCGTGGACTGGTTTAGATTCTTGTCCACGTTTCCAGGAGTCTAGCCAACTAATAGCAGCCCAAGCTATTTGAATAGCCGGATTATGTCTTCTTATCTGGCCTGCACTCCATCCGCTTGAATCCGTAAGCAGTGCAAACGCGTTGTCCCTTGCACACTGTGACAGGCATGTGACTTCTGCATGCAATTCTGGAAGAGTGTACAGTGGCAGGACGAATATTCCTGTGAAGTAGCAACATGATCTGAGTATAATCGTAGGACATCAAGTCTTGACACTACTTGTGACATGATCAATTCTGCTAATGCTCTAGTGCAGACTAGCAATAAGAGGCATTTGTCAGATACTAGTAACCATGAGGTACTGAGACGATTCTCTTTGGCAAGCCACCCACTCGGCTATAAATGCTCAAAGTTAATAATGTCATCTGCCTGCTCCAACTTGGCTGTCCTCCTGACAAGTGAAAACCGCTGGCGTCGTCCGGGCCATAAACACCATCATTGGCATTAATCCAACGCCTCACTTGCTCCTCATCTCTGCAGGTCGTAACAATAGGTCTGGCACATCGAAAAACTGAAATATTTGGAGCTCTTAGTTCAAGCTACATTTTCAGAGTCAGGAAGTTGGAAATGGCAAGAAACCCAGCTTCCCGTCACCTTCTAAGTTGACATCACAAGCAATGACCATTATCAGCCAGCAATGTTTTACTAGAGCAAAGGCGCTGGCGCATGGCGGGAACAGAAAGCTTTCCATCCAGCAACGTTTCTTTCTCAGCAAAAACAAATAAAAAGGAAAGGAACAAAAAAGGAGCCATACCCGATACCCGGGTACCCAGGTGTGTAGTCCCTGGAATGGCTCTCCCACAGATTCCAGTACAAAGGCCACGGCCAAGTGTCCCACTGAGATTCGGTCGCTTGCCCGGACCGCTGGGACGCGGACACCTCCGAAGAGCAGCCTGTGACGTTTATTTTTTATGAAAGAAAATCCGCAAAAATAGATAAGCTTGTCCCTTTAGCCTTTCGCTGCCAACTAGCCTTAAAGCATGCACAGACATTAAGGAGTTCAAGCTTCGAATTCTTCGTCCTAAATAATCTCACCATTTTCGTCATGCCTCCCCTTGCAGTACTTTCTTTGTTTCTCTCCTTATTATTCAGTTCGCCGTGGTTGGCTACCACCCGATTTTTAATATATATTGGCAGTCTTTTGACGAGCCAGGAGATGTTGAATTAATAATAATAATAACACTAGCTCACTCCTTTTGTTGAGAGAGAGGTGCTTGGGTGCTTGCGCAATTGCGAATTTTTCTGCCAGGCACAGGTTGCTTCATTTGCTTTTCTTGCTGTAGGCCGCTGCTGTGCGGCGTACCGCCCATTGAATGCTGCATGCCTTCCCTTCATCCTTTTTGGTCCAGACGTACTGCGATAGGCGGGTGTCCTTCTCGTGTTGTCTGTGGCGGAATGAGGATTGGTGGTTATAATAGCGTTGTTTGAATGTTGTCGCTGTTAATCCAGTATACTCCTTCTTCTCCATACCTTGCGTTATGCACGATGCTCTCCGTTAGACACGCTCCGTTCAGTGGACAAGAGTCTTTCGCACGACAGTTACAAGTCCTGGTGTCGTTGTCGCCTCCGTTAGCTTCTTTCTTGGGTCGCAGAATCTTGTTATTGTGTTGTTTGGTGATAGTGGCCATATTCTGCAAGCAACTGTAGCTAACATTTACAGTGTTCTGGTTGAAGTTTTTGTTAAGGCTTGAGCCTTTGGGGAAGTGTTTGGCCACTAGCTGGAGGAAGCGATGTCCGACGTCGGTGGCGACGTTCTTGCTAAATGGTGGGTTGAATTATATGATGTTCCTGGGGCGATTCCTTTTCTTCTTCTTTTTGTTAGTGCGTGAAACTCGGAGTAAAAACACTTTCTCTGTCCTCCTATTGTTTCAACCAGCTCTACCACTCCCGTATTGAGAATTCTCTTGGACAGCCTAGAATCTCTCTGTTTTATTACTTTTGTTATTCTCAATAACTGTCTGTACATTCGCGAAAGACGTCATGTAGAAGCACGACCACTACGTGTCTAAGTATGCGCTGTAATACAATCACGTGTCCAATAGCTGTTCTGTGCTATGCACGTAAGACAATTGATATTAATATTATTAATAATTTTATCAGCGCATAGCAAAATGGCAACAGCCAACTGTTAGGGACAAGTGGGATTCTGCTGGACCACTTAGACTGTAGAATGGGCTATCTGTTTTGACCCCATAGCTTTGGGGATAGGGGTTCATGACGATATTATGATACAACTCTTAAAGAGATAGAAGTGGATCCACACGTATGGCATGCACGTTTGTGACCTTCCTTGCTTCCTACGGGAACTCACTGTCATTACTACTGCGTGTAAGGTATAAGTCAGTGCTTTCAAGTATGCAAAGAGTCAGTTGAGTCTCGTCAATTCTGAAAAACTGAAGAAACTAGTTTTCTCCACCGCTGAAAGCGTTGTACCTTCAGCATGCCCGATATATTTAGTTATGTTTTCATACTCCTAGGGTTTTCTCCTCTTCCTGTTGTTGAAAACGATTTCAAATGTGCCCAAGAAGAATTGTCGCAAGAGACATCGGTCACTAATATATCGACCTCTGAGTATGGAACTGAACTGAAGATCTGCAAAGCAATGGAGCAGGAGTCAGTCGAGCCCGTACTGAACAGTGTTCTTTTGGACTTGTGGGAAGCAGCAGCATTCCCGTTGTTGTCACTTGCTGACATTTTTCAACTATGTGGTGTTACGAGACGCGTCCGCGACCTGCTTCATAATGAAACCATATTCAGGCGTCTATGTCAGGTGAGGGTTATGTCATGTTTCTTTGTCAAAACTTGGTTCATAACCTGTATAGTGCTCCAAGTAGTTCGAAAAGACGCTCCTCTTCGAGACAGTACTTCTTCTTCTCTTGCACTAGCTGTTTCATCCCATGTATTGTTAGAGTGGGATTTTCGGCTGACAGGTCTCGTTGTAATTTATATAATTATTAATGTTTAAGGATTCCCCAAAGGCCTTCGCCTTTCGAGGGGGTTTCTTAACGTTCCATAATACCAAATCTGTGAAAGAAGTGATGAGCAATAGGTGAACAAAAAAAGAGAAAAAGACATAGTCTAGGGCAGAGCTCTGCGCTTGAGCATATGATTGTAAGCGTGGAGAACTGGGATAATAAATTTAAATAATAAAAATGTGCCAGAAATAAGCTGCTAAAGAATTTAATGTGCCGCTACATATTCAACGGAATTCCACTTAGTGTTGAAACGAGCGTATCTATAACAAACGAGCGATCAGTTCCACTAACGAGCAAGCTATCGAGTGAGCTAACGAGTTTCATTGATGTGGCAAATATGATTTTTTTTGAATATTTTTTTTCTGAGTTCGATTTTTTTCAGCTGGTTCAAATTACATGAATTATCACCTCCGGCATTTTGGGTTGCTGCTGCTTCACTTCGGACTGCTGTTTGGTGTCGAGATGTCTTTTCAGCGCCGTCGTCGATTAGCCTTTGTAAGAATAGACCGTTTTGCAAAGATTGCAAGTAGCCCTGGTCTTCGCTGCATCGCGGGAGAAAACTTCCAAACGACTAAGCGTAACTTTCACTCGAATGGAAAGGTGACCAAAGCATATCCTGCGACAGGTCAGTAGATGCGGAACAAGACATCAGTAGAGTCCACCAAAGCTGCAACGACAACTGAAACAACTCAAGTGTCGTGCAGGCATACAGTCACTGTAACTGCGAGCGATTTTCACTTTGCGCGGGACTGGACTCTCGATCGTCCAGGGAGTCGTAAAATATTTTACGACTCCCCGGTCGACATGTACTGCCGTATGTACGGTGTACGGTGTTCGTTAGTGCAAACGAGCTGGACGCACAAACGAGCCGAGTTTCTGGCGAGCGAGCTAACGAGTATCCGGTGAGATCGTTTCCACTGCAGTGAAACCAATGGTCATAGAACTGTTTGGGCACTTCTTGGGAAGATGCATTGAACTCCCGACACAACAAGAGCACAGTAATTTTAGTTATAATTCATACATTTACATTTTAATGGATACCTGACCGGTTTCTGCAATTAGAATGCTTCCTCAGAGGATGAAGAATGAGGTAGAAAACACTAGCTTATATACACGGTAGGCATGGATTGGCATACTTGTAGTGTAAAGTGGAGAAGGTTGCTAGTCATGTTGCGCTATGCACCAGTAGCTGAGCGTGTAGCAATGCAGTACTTGAAAATAATTGTCTTGGCGCAAATGTGGCTAATACACATGGGTAGCGTGAACCTTAGGAAATAGCTAGGTGAAAAGTTGTAAAGCTGTACCAAAGTAAATGAGCCATGGGGTTGAACTAGGTGAAAGTGGTAGGTTTGTACAGATGTTTTTGGTTGGTTCCAGAAATTTCTGGAACCAACCAAAATGCAGAGCAAAGTATGCTCTGCCGTATGAGTTAACTAATAATTATTGTAAAAAGCTGCTTGGTTTTTCTGAAGAAAATCTGACAATCAGTAAAAAGCGACTGTTTCAGAAGGGAGCGATAGTTTGCTCCGACAAAGTGCGGATGGTATGTGGTACAGAAAACATACTGTTTGTTCTTATACACCGAGTCTGTAGCTTTATTTACAAATACCTGCGGTTTGGGCTCTACAGCAATGAATAGCGTACCCAGGAATTCGGGTGGATATCCTCGTTTTCTGAGTCTGAGCCAGAGAACTTGCGAATCTTGAGAATATCCTCTAGTAGCTGGTTTTTACGGTTGTACCGGATGAGCTCTGCATTGATAAATGATCTAAGATTAGACCGGGGGTGGTCTGATTTGAACGGGATGCATAAATATGCATTCCTGTCTTTCTGGAAAGTTCTGTAGGAGAATCTATCCGCATCTATCTTAAAAATTTCTAAATCTAGAAATACGGCTGTAGAAGAAACTTCAGACCAAGTGGGCTTAATATCAGATAAATCGCTGTAAACGACGGCATCAAATTTTATCCTATCGAAAGTCTTGCTAACAATTAAGCATAGATCGTCAAAGAATCGTCCAAAAAGTAAACTGATGAACGGAAACTTTGAAGAGCTTTTTTCTCGTGCGTAAAAAGAAAAATATTAGCAACGTTGACGGCCATTGGGGTACCCATGGCCATACAGAACTCCTGATGGAAGAGCTTCTCCTTAAACTCAAAATAATTGTTTTCTAGGACAAATTCGACTAGGTCTACAATAAGGGAGCGTAATGGGTGTTCGGCTTCGGCAAGGAAATCATTGATAGCTGCTACTGTGTCTGACCAATGCATGTTAGTGTACAAACTGGTGACATCGGCTGTAACGATCATAGCATCAGCAGGAAAGTCTTTACTGGATAGAACATTTGTGAGACTATGAGTGTCCTTGAGCACAGTGTTAGCAGGCGTCTTGGCAAACGCTTTACATAAATAGTGGTCTATGAGGCGAGATGCAGGTGTGGTGCAATAACCTAAGCAAGACACTATGGGTCTACCCTTTACAATTCCATTAGGACCTGGAGCCTTATGTATCTTAGGGAGCATGTAAAATGTCGCTGGTTTAAAAGGAAAACTTGCGAATAGTGCTCTGACATCTTTAGGGGAAAGTAATGGTTCATGACTCTTCACGATGTCATGCAGAGACTGTTCAACGTAGTGAAGCTCTGGTACTATAGTGTCCAGATTAACTAAGCTATCACCTGGCGCGCATGGCGTGGGAATAAATCTGTAGTACTTGCAATCAGACAACTGTCTGTAGCCTTCTGTTATGTAATCCTCTACATTTAAGACAACTGTGCCTAGATTCTTATCAGCGTTAGCAATGACAATATCTGTTTGGCTGTTGAGACTACATAAAGCAAGTTTCTCACCGGGTGATAGGTTGTTTGGGCGATGTATTGAGCGAGCAGCAGTCACACCAGCTGTTAGTTCAGTCCTGAAATCTCGCAAAGCTGTTTCTGTGCCGATGGACACACGCGGTGGTTGTCTTGACGACCGTAGATGAAAACTGCGTATGTAACCATCATCACGGCGGGTGGTGTTGGTGAAGACCTCACCCCAGCGAACATTGTGCTCGAATTTAGCGATATCATTTGTGAGCTGGTCAGTGCTGGGCAGTCGGCCGGTTGGACGGAAGTTGGACCCAAAGCCCAACACTTGGCGTTCTGCATTAGAGAAAGACAAACTGGAGTAATTGTGAAAGCCAGAGTTAGTAACGGATAGAGCATAGTCACGAAGGTTTAGATTCCAAATATACCGAAGGCGGCGGTCGCCTATCATTTTCTCACATTTCTTCGGGCAGCTGGATTGGATTGCTTCTTCTTTACCTGCGTCCATCCGCCATCGTTTTTTGACGTCGGTTGTTTGGATTGGCGTTTCGTTTCTCTTGGCTGTTGGTGTTGCTTTGGCCTCGACTGTTGCTTTGGCTGTTGCTGTTGTTTCGGCGGAGTCTTTGGTTGTTTAGACCTGCCTTTGCCAGTTGACAGAGTCGAGGAGGACTTACTCATTGCACCTAGTTGTCGCTTCAGCTCACGTTTTATAAGGGTGCCAACTTCTTGAGCCTGGATTGGTGCGGTAGTAATATCAGCGGTTGCCTTCTCTTTGGTGTCTTTTGCCTTTTATGTGCCGACTCTTTGGCTTCTCGAAGATTCTTGGCCATAACACGGGACACACGTAGAGACAGAAGAGTAGAATAACGACTTAGAACAAGATCTGCTGTGTGGCTGACTTCCTTGTCTTCTTTCAAAGTTTTCACAAGGTCATCTAGATCAGCTTTACCTTCAGCAAGCTTTTCTGTCGCAGAATTCAGCTTTACTTTAGCATGCTTAATTCCATTCTGTGTAAATCTTGTCGACTCAATGAGGATAGACTGGGGTGTAAGTGTCTTAAACTTGCTCTGGACCCAGGCGGGAAAGGAATTGTCATTCAATTGGCTCTCAAGGTTACTCACTTTCTCGGAGCTAGTTTTGATGACCTTCTGTGACGTAATGACTCGGTTGACGCACCATAGGACGTAATCTTCTAGATTCTTTTCGGGAAGAGGCTGAAAGTCGGTTTTCTGCTTCGGGAGCGTCAAATTGGCACGAGACGTACGGCTGCTTGCAGTCGACATACTGTATGGTTTGTTGAGGGGAGTCTTGATGGTAGATACTAGGGAAGATGCATTGAACTCCCGACACAACAAGAGCACAGTAATTTTAGTTATAATTACTACATTTACATTTTAATGGATACCTGACCGGTTTCTGCAATTAGAATGCTTCATCAGAGGATGAAGAATGAGGTAGAAAACACTAGCTTATATACACGGTAGGCATGAACTGGCATACTAGTAGTGTAAAGTGGAGAAGGTTGCTAGTCATGTTGCGCTATGCACCAGGAGCTGAGCGTGTAGCAATGCAGTAAAATAATTGTCTTGGCGCAAATGTGGCTAATACACATGGGTAGCGCGGTAGACGATTATTTTACTGCATTGCTACACGCTCAGCTACTGGTGCATAGCGCAACATGACTAGCAACCTTCTCCACTTTACACTACTAGTATGCCAATTCATGCCTACCGTGTATATAAGCTAGTGTTTTCTACCTCATTCTTCATCCTCTGATGAAGCATTCTAATTGCAGAAACCGGTCAGGTATCCATTAAAATGTAAATGTATGAATTATAACTAAAATTACTGTGCTCTTGTTGTGTCGGGAGTTCAATGCATCTTCCCAAGAAGTGCCCAAACAGTTCTATGACCATTGGTTTCACTGCAGTGGAATTTCCACTGCAGTGAAACCAATGCTCATAGAACTGTTTGGGCACTTCTTGCTTAACTTCTCTTAAACTGGCCAAGGAGGTCATCTTAGGGGCAGAAAATTCCAGAGGGTGCTGTGTTTATGGATAAAGAGATTTGAACAGCACTGTCCAGGGTTTGCCAATATCAGCTTACTTTGAAACTCATCGCTTACGGGAACTTTCGATTACATTGTATTATGGCAGATTATTTATATCCTATTAGTGAACCATAAGGATGTGAGCTGGCCGGTGCTACATGTGCATGTATTTTCCTCGGCCAGTATGGCTGGACTGTATACTTCCCATCTTGTGTATACAATACACAAAAAAACGATTCAAAGCCTCTCAATTATTTTGTAATACTTCTTAATATAATTTGAAACTCGGATGTTGAGCCATAAATAAATGTGGAAAGGAAGAGTATAATTATATTATATAGTATATAGTATCCAGTTACAGTGATGGAGAGTTACTCTTAACTTGTATCCATATGTCCTCTTTCTTTCCACATCTAAATATAATAATAATAATAATAATAATACGAAGTCTGAAGAAAATGTTGAACAGTCTATGCTGGGATGACGACTACAACATAGCTCAGTGGTTAGAGCATCGCTAGCTACAAGCGAAGGTCCCTGGTTCGAGTCCTGGCGGTGACAGTCAATTTTTCTTCAGACTTTTCCCGTTTGTATCTTTCCCTCAAACTAGTGAAGAAAATAATAATAATAATAATAATATAATAATTATACTTTCACACAAAACAAGCTCGGTGCAGCCCTAATCACAGGAGGGGAACCCGACCCTCCACCATCGCCAACTCACGAAGCATGTGAACAGGGCACAATACCCACTGTAACAGTACAAGTAAAGTTTACAAACTAAATCTGTAAACTGCCTTTTACCCAATGTGCCTGTTCATCATAAATGTATGTTGTCGTTGTTTTCCCATGCATGTAGAATCGCTATCAGATCAGTCCAAATTTGAAACTGTCCTACATCAGAGTTGCCAAGCACCTCTACATCGCCACCAGAGTATCCAGCATACATGAAAGCATACCTGATTCTGGCAATGACTGTGTTGTGCAAAATGATGATCCTCATGATCAATATCAGGTGTTCAAACAAAAATACTCAATGTTCGTGCAATTGTGCAGCCTGGCGAAGATGCCGACTACAGGACAGATCCACACCATTGTGCGGTACAGCCTTCCGCTAAAGAAGCCTTTGATCAGTATGCTTTGGCTGTCATCCCAAGCCACATCTTCCTACCTACCCAACCTTTCAACTTCAATGATTGAAACATATTGTAGAGTATGGGAACAACAGGCGAAGTACAGTTTAGCAGACGCCACGAATTTGTTGTTGGAGATGTGCGGCTCCCACGAAGAGTACCAAACATGTCTCCTGAAAAACCTGGAGCAGAATATTCCGGAAACGGCATCATTCTTACCCTACGTGAACCGCTCTTGTCGGCTAGTGGAGGTTGCAAAATGCTTTGAAAGATTTGCAAGGAGGGATTCGACATGGCTCTCATCATTAACATGTGAGAATCTAATACGAACACTTCCTCAGCACATTACTACTCGTTGGAGCTACAACTCATACGACTTTGTACCAATAGAGGAAGGTGACAGTGACCTCAGCCATGACGTGTTAGCCACCCATAACTGGATCAACTTCACCATAAAGTTAGCAGAGTGTCACTCAGTACTCAAGCTCCTGATCAAGGGCAGCCTACGTGTATCGCAGTTGGAGGATTACTTCTTGGCTGTCGTGGCGTACGACGAGGTCTGGCACTGTCTGCTCCAGTCTAGTCGCCCCAATCGGGAGGTTCTCTTTCGTGACCTGGGAGGCTACCTACTCTCCACAGCACCTGGGTCGAGTTATGAAAAGGAACTGACAATAGGGGAACTGCTGGACGCCATGGACCAGTGTGGCAGCGCGACCCTAGAAGTGCAGGAGAAGTTCTAGTCCCGGCTGCCCCAGTCTAGGTGCCCCAGTCCGGAAATTCTCTACCCTGACCTGGGAAGCTACCTACTTTTCACACTATCAATGCCAGTACCAAGGTCGGAGTGTGAAAAGGAAGTCACAAAAGAGGAACTGCTGAACGCCATGGAACGGTGTGGCGAGAAGACCTTTAACAGTGCAACCCGAGAAGTGTGTGACAATGTGTTCGACAGCATGTGTGACAGCGCGTCCAGCGAAGTGTGTGACAGCGCAACCCGCAAAGTGTGTGTCAGTGGACGTGATTCTTCTTGTGTCCTGTTTGTATTAATTTTGTATATATGTTGGACTCAGTAGAGCGTCCAGCCCCTATATGATGTCCAACCCCTATATAGAGTCCATTGGTCCAAAATCCACTGTACAGAGTCCAAACTTGGAATCAACTGTGAGCTCAAAGTTTAGATGGACATCACTCCCTGTATAGAGTCCAGCCAATTGGCTTCACCCCTATATAGAGTCCATTGGTCCAAAATCAACTGTATGGAGCCCAAACTTTGAAATTAACTATAAGGAGTCTTTATGTGGACAACACTCCCTGTATAAAGTCCAGCGAATTAGGCATCCCCTATCCAGAGTTCGAAATTAGACAAAGGATCTGCTGTAAGCAGTGAATATTAACCAGAAAACGGCCTCTCCCTTTAATCCTTTACATCATTCACTTCTCAAGATAAAAAAATAAGTATTGAGGCGCCACTGCAGCCACTTCATTACATGAAAAACCCTACAAACACCATCCTCAAATCAAGTGGTCTTTTCGCAGACACTGCAAATTACAATATCTCAATCATGTAGTGTTGCCAAATTATTGTGCACGCACACACACACACATGCACATACCCACACAACGCCAAGAAAATACCTAGAAAAAAACCAAGAATCGAAAGAGAATAATGGAGAGCCAAGGATTAATTATTTGTTTTCAAATTATTGTGCACGTGCACGCACGCACACAAACACACACACACACACACACAAACTTATACAACGCCAGGAAAACAGCAAGAAAAGAGTAGAGACACAATACACATGCAACTCCAACAGCCATGCAAACGTCCACCCATTTACACGTTAAGTCAAGAGGGATAACAAATAATTATACGAAACGAATGCATACATGGGCGGATGCGCGCACGTTTACATACGTGTAATAGCGTAAGAGAGTAACATAGTGCAGTAGTCAGCATAATACTAGGACATGCTGAGAGTGCAATAGCAAGCTTCACCATTGCTCATGGCCATGCAAATGTTCAGCAGCACTCAGTTCCGCAATCTTCTGAAGATCAGCACTCCTGCAACAAATAGATAGCACAAGAATACGCGTATTACCGTAATGATGCATGGAAGCACACAACTACCAAGTTCTCAACGAATGTAATGCTCAATGAAAATCCATCCACTCAAAGACCTGTGAACAGGTGACGGTGGGGACAATAATCTATTAGTAATACGAGGAATAATGTAAGACATGTATAATATTACGAGGAAGCAAATCTAACATTTTAACGGATGACATTTCTTCAAGATCCGTTGAGGCCGTACTGATTCATATTATGCTGTGTGTGGATATGGCAGAATACTGCAAGATCGTTAACATATCTTCTCGTTAACCTATGAATTTTGGACAATTGTTAAATTTGCGACTCGTTATAATAACATGTCTTACAGTAAGATCGTTTGTGCACACTCAAGATGCACAGACACACCACCATACATGTAGTGTACACAGTGTTTCACTTCACTGCAACTAAATTGAAATGAGATGATTTGAACAATCTGTACAGCGTTGCCGTCAGTCAGTCTTCCCCAAGATGGAAATGCAATGATTTGTTGTCACGAGGCAGTTTCACTGACACAATGTCATGTTTGTGACATCAAAACGGTTACTTCATGGAATACGAGTACCGTAAAGTACCGCCAGAGCGCCCCGTCTCGCGAGAGCGCCCCACCTTGATTTTACAGCCAAGGGAAGAAAATCGTATGGCAGAATGCTACTAAGTTTGTACGATGTGAGAACCTTCGTGCGCGCGTGTACTAAGGTCACACTAACTTGGTATGCTTTTATGTGGAGCTCGAAGGTAAACTGGGTACGGATTGACTGCACAATGTGCAATGTTTGTACAAGGTCCGTGTCGTATGACCTACAGACAGGAATCCACCTCCACAAGGCGGCCACGAAAGGACGAGATGGTGGGGCGCTCTGGCGGTACTTTACGGTACATGTAATAGCTTGAGAAGCTTTTTCTTGTCATCGGCATACGAGAAATCCTCCTACTACTACTACTAGTACACTGGCACTGCGTTTGTGGATCCCATTGTATTTGACATCATACTAGAGCCTAGTAGAGGAAGAGTGACGTGGAGTTCACATAATTATCACAGGGATAAAAATACATTTCTCATGAAATAAAATAATAATTGATGATAGCTAGACGATCGTATACGATTGATGCAAAGTCCTTGCAGTCCTTGAGGACTATTACGAAGTGGTTGATTACTTTTAGGGCATTCATTCAAGCAACATCAAACAAACGCGATACGATCCTTGAAAATGGATAAAAATTCAAGCATAACGACAGAACAGCAGACCAATCGAAACGAGTAAAAGCTTCCTTACCTCAGACATCGTCCTGCCATGTAGTTGGACAGCCTTTTGACACGGTGGTACAGGCAGCTCTTGTCCAGTCAAACAGGGTATCCTTGTGGCGTCGAACGAAAGAGAGTGTCAGTGTATCTGACTCGTCAGATTGGAACTGTGCTGAACTTTTCTCGTTCTCCGCTTTCTGCTTTCATCCCTCGCTCTGATGAAACTGTTCAAACGCCTTACTGGCAGCAATGGCCAGCCAAACAGGGGATCCTTGTGGCGTCGAACGAAAGAGAGTGTCAGTGTACCTGACTCGTCAGATTTGAACTGTGCTGAACTTTTCTCGTTCTGCAATTTCTGCTTTCATCCCGCGCACTGATGAAACGTCTTCAGAGAACCACAAGACGCTTTCCAGATTAATTTTGATTTTGAACGTCTCCTTATCCTGCTTGGTTACCTCGAGACAGATTACTGTCAGCAGCTGCACAGCAGAACTGGCAGCCATGGCTGAAGTGAAGAAAGGAATGCGCTGCCGGGCCACGAGGCAAGCAAAACTGAAAAGGTGTTTGTTCTCTTCAGTTTCGGGCACAACACACAGGACGGCGTGACTGGATAAACTGGACCCCTGGACCGTGAATAGGGGACTTGTAGAAAAAGTGTACTCCTTATAGGGGATTGCGCGGCAGGATGAAGCTGATCAAAACTGAGTGGACTCCTGGACCATGTGGACTCTGTATAGTGGATTTTGGACCAATGGACTCTATATAGGGTGCTGGACATCATATAGTGCATGGACTCTATACTGAGTCCTACATATATATATATACTTTTTACTATGTTCACATAACCAGCTCGAAAAGAATAAGGAAAGACAATGGTACAGAGACTAGGACAAATGTGAAAACTAATGAGCAGGCGCTGCACCGATTGAATATTATATTATTTATCGGGTGTTGTTGTTGTTGTTGTGGTTGTTGTTTTGCCGTTGTGAGCACTACGGCCTATGAGTATGAAGCAATACCACTACTAGTCAACAGCACTGTATAAACGAATTGCTCATCTGTTGGCTGAGAAGAGGGGTGAGCAGTACTCTCATGTTATGGCATTAATTTGTTAGATGCAGGATTTCCTTCAGCCTTCTGAAATCATGTATCATGTGCATTCGCGGTGGTAGGCGTATAAATTTTAGTTTGAAATTTACACCCTCCTGCGGAGCCCACGCTGCTTTGGCAATAGCAGATGCTCGCTTGCCGACGTAACCATCGGAGATCATCATAAACATGCAATGGACTGACTAATTATTTACCTGTCCTATCTTTCTAAATTAATAACAATGTCATGTTAGTGCACATATCTTCAATACTCATGAACTACATTGTATATGATAATTATATCATTATATCATCGTTCTAGCTCAATTTCTTTCCCCTGTCATAGTCCTGTTTATCATGTTCAGCATAAGCGAAGTTGTGGATCATGCTTGCATGGTTAACTCCAACGCGTACATGCAAGTAATAATAATAATAATAATAAAATTGCACATGTTCTTGGTTTTGTTTTTGGCCTTTTTCGTGCTTTGGAGTTACGTGTTGTTTTTGGAAAAAAATTACCACTACAAGTGTATTAAGACTGTTGTTGTTTTTTGCCTTTTGACCCAATAGGATGTTACTTGATCTCTACTTTTCTCGCACTTATTCAAAGTAACACGTACTGTACTGTAACTGATGTGTTTGTTTCCTCGTTTAGAATAGAGCCCACACGTTCTCTACCATTAACACTGCAAAGGTCAAACTCATTTCACAATAATTATTCCTACGTTTCGGCAAATTGCCTTGGTCAGGTTCACAATGATGTGCAAGCTCCAACACCAGCCTTGATAAAGGCCAACTCTACGGTCAGTAAGAGGGTGCGAGCAGCTGCGCGAAAAGAGTTCAGCTAACAGCGCTAACATTGATTATCAGTGGAGGGGACTACAGCTGAGGTGAAAACTAAAACTAAACAAAAAAGGACTCAGATGGAGAACCCAGGATTAATTTATACAAAACAGAAAATACTCATAAAAAGGACACACTTCAGGCTCATTACGAACATATTGAAAGTTTTTTTGTTTTCACAAGTTTACTTTCAAGCCTTCTTGTCAGGTGGGAATACAGGCAAGGGAAAAGGAACAGGAACAGTGGATTAAGTACAGTAAGGAGGTGGTAAAACAGCGCAAAGAATTTTTTGTCTCAGAGGAAAATGTTTACAAAAGAGAAAGGACCTGATTATTTATTAATTGGTGTTAATAATCTTTATTTCAGGATTACCCAAAGGCTGACGCCTATCGGGGGATCTCCTATTTGTGTATATACAATGATTATTGGAGTTGGGAAAAAGAGAAAATGTGCAAAATGAGTTCGGAAACAGAGAGATGCTGTACAAAAGATACAGTGAAGTAACAAGCAGTGTAAATCAATGATTGCACATCAAAGGGATACCAGTGCAGTCGAACTGATACTTTGCAATGTAAATACGTTAATCACGCTTGAATTCTGTTAGTGAACCTCGCACGCGCGGCCAGGCACAGCGCGCATTAGTTCTTCCGCCTGTTTCTACGCAATATGGCATGCGTTCTATTTCTTTCCTGCCGGCAGACAGATGGAATGCTCTTCCCACTGACTGCCGTCAGGCCCCGTCTCTTACT